CTTTGGGCAATTTCTAAAATAAATGTTGTTATCGGTGAATTCACAGTCATACTATGGCATTAACGTTACACTATTAGTGTCATATAGTAGAAGCATTTTTAAGATGATAGTACTTACTCCTATATATTTAGGAGGAAAATAATGTATTCTTATTATATTTAGGGTCATTTTTTCTATTTATAATATGCCATTTGCTTGTTCCTCAAGTGTTTTTATGTGCTTTTGTGCTCCAAATCTGATGAAATTCACCTCTGTTTTTATTATGGTTATAAAATCATTTATTCTAGAATATTTTTGAATTGTGACAGTCTTTAGAGTCCTTAGAAGTGATTCAACACTATAAATAAGCTTCCAGCCTTCCACCCTTCACAATTTCAGCACTTATTTCTATATACTTCGTATATTCTTTATTTCTTCATACTTAAAGCGAAGCTATTATATTCTCAATTTTATATCTAGCTATCGAAAGTTATTTGTGCATTCATCTTTGAGCATTATACTTTTATATTAGATATACTAAATGCATGCCAATAGAAATTGTTCATCAGTTTAAATTGTTAAGTATATACTTCTTATATAACTCCGTATGATTATACTCCACCTTTGTTCTTCATATTTGCATTTTTTAAGAGTGGTAAAAAGTTGTGCTTTCATAAATTTTGTTACATATAAAAGGTGATTATTATAATTGTTAAAGATGAAATCTACCGACAAATGCGGATGAAAGTAAAGATGATCATTATTGATCATGAAGAAGATGATGAAAAAGTTGAAACTAGCACGCAGGAGTATAGAAAGAAGGTACTACCTCCGTCCCATAATTTACTTCCGTTGTACTTGTACAAATGGTACACGGATTAAGAAAGTGAGTTTTGTGTGGTGGAGAATTGTGCAGATGAGAGAGAAATGTGTAAGAATTGTTGTGAACCACACATTCTTTGCCAAAAAGGGAAAGTGAAGTTCATTTTGGGACGGACGAAAAGGGAAAGTTGGAAGTATTTTCATGGACGGAGGGAGTAGTAAAGATGAACATGAAGAATGAGGATAGAATATGAAGATTTTCTTAAAGAAGACATGATGCTATATTTGAAGCATGGAGATACAAGATGATGGTTCTCATTTGGAGAGCACATTCCCCATCCATTGATCTTTCACTACAAAAAAATTACGGGAATGACACGGCTTTGGTACGGATTTTCCTATAATTTCGTGCCAAATATCTCATGTCAAACTGTTTTTGGTACGGATTTAGCATATCCCTACCAAAATCCCTGCCAATTTCATGAAATTCCTATAAAAAATCCATGTGAATGTCGTGTTTTTTTGTAGTGTCTTGTTGTGAATTACATACACATAAAGTAAAAATCTTGACATCTGTTATGTTTCGTGTAGTACCATGTAGTTTCACAAGTGTACTATGGATCCTTTGTTGCATTATGATCACATACTACGTAATAAAAACCAACATCTTCAATTAATTGGATTCACTTGTCGTCGTCTCAGAGTCTATCTTCAACGGAGATGTGTGAAATGAATGATATATACTTCCCTCCTTACATAAAAATTGCAACTTTGTAATTTCTTCACTATTCACACACCTTACTTTGACTACGATTTTCTAATAATATATATAGAATAAAATATTATGTAAAATATTAATAAATTTGTATTAATGTAAATTTCCAATATATTAACTTTTTTTAATGTTTACTAATACGTAAATAAATATAATTACAGTCAAAGTTGTGTGTTGACAAACGTGAAAGTCAAACTGTTGCTACTTTTATGGAACAGATGATAGTGTGTGTGTGTGTGTATGTGTGTGTGTGTGTGTATAGGTTTTGGTTCAAATAAGAACATGATCTTAGGAGAGAAATGAGAATGAATGTGAACGGTTAGATTTGCTTTAAGTGAAATACAATGTGCATTACATGAAATTGTAATGTGCGTTAGGTGAAATTGAAATGTGCAGCACAAAGGGTACGATAGAGTAGCATTATGTGAAGTTGAATTGTGCATTAGATGAAATTGAAATGTGCACTAGGTGAAACTGAGATGTGTAGAATAAAAGATACGATGTGATGTTATTTTTGTATCTTTTATTCCGTACATTTAAGTTTCATCTAATGCACATGTGAGTTCAAATTTTTATTCTACATATTTTTATATCATCTAATGCACATTTCAGTTTTATCAAATACACAAATCAGTTCCACATAATTCAATCCAACGGTCCAGATTCATTCTCATTTTTCTCCTGAGAGTCTGTTCTTACCGGAACCGCTTCATATATATATGGTAATCCTTTGTAGTAAATCTATAAATGAATTCCATCTATCATTGAACAAAAGTTGCTCCTAAAAAAACCATTTTTTCTTTAGTAGGAAAAATGATCCACCCAAATCGATTTACTACTTAACCGTGCAATATGCCCATTGTTAGTCAAATACTTTCACTCGTCCTAACTAACAATTTTCCCATATCGAGATCTTTCAAGTAGATAGATTATACTATTTCATGCCAAAAAAATTATGTTGACGGTGCCTTTTCTGGTTGACTTTTCAGCCAAATGTAGTGCATGAATTCTGGTGTAACATGTCCTTCAAATGATATTGTGGTTTGAGGAAAGAAGTTTTGACATGATGTTTTCAATTAGACTAAAATGTTGTGGTCTGGTCTTTCTGATAAATGTCCGGTTTCTGATTATAAATCTGATTTAGTCTGATATATTTAAGTCTGATCTGGTCTATTTATGACTAGTCTGATTTGGTTTGGGACTAAAATAAATCCAAATAAAAACATTTGTACAATGTATTAATTATGAAGGTATTTATCCACCTTGGGATTGATATGAAATAATTAATTGATATGGTGCACTGCACTTATTAGGTTGGCCTTTAGGATTGAACTCTCATTCTTAACATGGACTCAGAGCTGGGTCCGGTCCGGTTGTACTTATCTCACAATAGATTAATAAATAATAATAAATCACTATATAAGATAATTTAAGGAAAAAATTGACAACATCTAATTACTCGAGTTGGGGTCATTAACCAATTAAATACTCTCTGTTTTGGAGGAACTTTATGAAGTTATAATACGTACAACCAGAGAATATAGAAAACTCATAGTGATTGTCATGTTGAAATATAAGATTCTTTGTCTGGGTCTAAAGTTGAATCATATGTATGTTTGAAATCTCGGCTTTGTACGCACTGTGAGGCCAGTGTGAACTAATTAGTTTGTTTATATATATATATATATATATATATTAGTATTAGTTAGTCTTTCTATGCATGCATACATGTTTCGTCACAGTAATCGAAGACATATTGAGCACCGTGGTGTTGCTGGGTTTGAAAATGTTGCCAAGAATTTGTCAATGTAATGTGTGTTTAAAAATAAAGTAAGCATAATGTATGTTTTGTGACATTATATGAGGTTTTTGTTAAAATGTTATTAACAAAAAAATTATGAAATTTGTTAATCTGGTCTGGTCAAGTCTGTACTGGTCTGGTAAATATATGGTCTATGTGTACTTTATAACTAATTAAATAGGAGTCCGGTTTTATTTGGTTTGTTTAATTTTGATCTGATCTGTTTAAATCTATTCTGGTCTAGGATACAAAAAATACCAAGTATAAGCATCCATGTAGTCATTAAAATTATCGGTTCAAGTGGGAGTTTTGTACACTAACTTTATTTTGGTCATGCACTAGGTAGCTAAAGGAGTATATTTATCACAAGAGTTTTTGTCATTTTCGGTCCCCGGAGTATTGTATCATTGACACTTTTGATACTCAACTTTTTAGTTTTTCCACTTTTAGTCCTTGACTATTGTGCTAGATACACTTTTGGTACCTATCTTTGGAAAAAATAAAAGTTAAGAAAGTGTTCATCAAACAAAAAGGTAGGAAGAACAATAGCACTACCTATTGTCTTCAAGGCTAAAGGAAAAATTAAATCAATAAATTAAAAGATATAGCACATTTCTACTCTCTCTTTATCCCCTAGGTAATTTAATTCTCTCAATTTTAATATGACTTTCCTAGTCTTCAAAATTGACATTTGGCCATTAATATATGATGTTAAAATATTCAATTAAATTTATAATGAATTATCATTTCAATTTAATATACTCCATATCAAAATCAATGATCCATTACTATTCTCATGCCATAAAAGTAATACTCCCTCCGTTCTCTAATACTTAACCCTCTTTTCATTTTGGATGTTCTCTGTTAGTTGTCTCCATTTTCACTTTTGATAAGTTTTTTTAATAAATATACTCATTTACCCTCATTCTCTTTCCTACTTTTACCTTTACACACAATTCACTACACCTTTTATCCTACCCCTATTAATTCTTTCTTAAATCTTGTGTCAAAGGTTATACTCCCATCTATTAGAGAACGGAGGGAGTATTTTTTACTAATTAATGATCAAAATTAGCAAAATTATGGGACATGTATTATGAATCAAACTTATAGACATCTATGACAAGAGTGATCATTTGTACAATGTAGTAGTGCGCCACAAAGAAAATATCTATGACAAAGAAAAAAGCTATGACAAAGTTCGTATAATGTTATTAGTAGGGTACGTAGCAAAAGACCAAAAGTAAAATTAGATTGAAGAAAATGTTTAAACAATTCATATTGTGCTTTAGCATAACAATGTACCGTTTGGTATGCCAAAATGAATACCGAAAGGAAAGGGGAAGTAATACTTTAGAATGAAAATTATTAGAGGACATTTTTTTTCTTTCTGAACCGACAGATAGAGAACCTAGCTATACTAGAGCAACATCATTTTCTTAATAATACCAATAATAATATTTTGATTACAAGAAGGTGAACAAATCATGTGTCAACACGTGTCACCAGCTCATTAGTCAGTATCCAACACCAAATAGGAAGCCAATGCAATGGTGTATATATGTATATGCACATTAAGAAGCTAGCTACACATAACCATTATATTACTACTCCCCATATCAGCTTGAGTTTCTTTATCCTCTACCAGAACAAGGGCAAAAAAGAAGAAGGGCTGAAGAGCAGATAACAACAATTTAAGAGCACCCACACCGGCTTCCATGGAAGTAATAGGCCGGAAAACGATAAACATGATGGGCGGAGAAGACCACCGGGGTCTCAACCTGAAAGCCACGGAGCTCTGCCTCGGCCTTCCCGGCGGAGGCGAAAGCGAGTCAATGAAGGTCACCGGAAAAAGAGGCTTTTCTGAGACTGTTGACCTCAAACTCAACCTTCACCATCATCAAACTGCTAACAATGGCTCTTCTTTGGATCTCAAAGACAAGATGATGAAATCTCCTCAGGAGACTACCAAGGATCCTATCAAGCCCCCTTCCAAGTAATTCCTAATTATTACTCTAACACCTTCTATATGTGTTTTAATTATACTAAAGGCATACTCACTCCGTGGGAAGAGGGTGTCGAGAAGTCTCAAGTTCAACTTCAAATAATGACTTGAGATGGAACTCTACTCGTTCTTTTCAAGAGAATGTGATCAAGTCTTAACTTACATCCTTGCAAATAACTGTTTGATCGATTTTGGGAGCCTTCAATGAGGTGTCATCCTTATTTTTATCTAAATATAAATACTTCTAAATATGTCATAATATGTACTATAATATCAGTATGTTGGTAAGGTGTTAAGATATGATGTTTATTATGTTGCACGCAAACGTAAAAATCACGAGAACAATAACGTTAAATGGATGGAAAACGTTGTCTTGCAATAATTTTTTTGGAGAGTTTCTAAATAGCTTCCGTGAAGTTTCTGGAACGAAACGTAATCGTTCCAGTCTTCCTGACATAGGATGTCAGCAATTTGTTAATATTTAGATTGATCAAAAAAACATGGTTTTTATGTAAGGTGGAATGATTATTATATTCTTAACACATTTTTTTAAATTGTAGGGCACAAGTGGTAGGGTGGCCGCCAGTGAGGAACTACAGGAAGAACGTAATGGCACAGAAGAGTAGCGAGGAGGAGGCGGCGCTTGAGAAGAGCGGCGGAGGGGCGGTGGCGTTTGTGAAGGTGTGCATGGACGGAGCGCCGTACCTTCGCAAGGTTGACTTGAAGATGTATGAGAGCTACCAACAGCTGTCTGATTCTCTTGCCAAGATGTTCAGCTCCTTCACTATGGGTAATTTGACTTTTTATTTATTTATGTTTGATATTCAACTAACTAGCTAATAGATCCAATTTAAACATTTTAAACAATATAAAAATAACAAACAAACAAAAATATATCATTTTTTTTACTCTGGGGGAGAGGGGTCGGGGAAGTCTGAAGTAATCTAGGCTGAAACTCAATTCATTGAGTTTCAAATTCGAGACCTCCCCTAAGGAAGAGTGAGTCGGCTATCGGCTGGGATGGACCGCTTACTCATCAAAAATATATCATTATTAGAGCATTATTGTAGAACAATGATAGCATAGTAGAATGTAATTACTCTATCTATCTCATACCAAGATTCTTTGTTTTGTTAATAATGCGGAGTATATACTTGGGTAAAAACACAAAATTTTACACTTGAAATAATATTCACAATTAAAATTTACACTTAATTATACTAATTAAAAGCCATCGAGTTTAAAAGCTGGTTTGGAATACTAAGAAAATTTGTTTATGAATTAAGAAATTAGAGTAAATAATTAAGTACTTACCTTCTTCATGAAGTAAAAGACCTCAAAATCTTAAATTGTAAATACAATACTTTTTGTCCTATCTAGCTTTGATTGACTCTGTCTTTTACTTCACTTGACCGCATATAGCAAATTATTACCTCTTTCCCCAAAATTTTGGACTGAAATATTAAAGTCACGTTTTTAGCACTAAAGTATTGCAAACAAAAAAAGAGCAACTTTATAAGATATGATTAATTTCTAAAAAAAGTTTCTTTTGTACTTCACATAGCAAGTAGCACCAAATTGAAAAAGATTCCCTAAAAAAATATTGTCACGTTTTTTCAAGACTTCCTAGCTCCACTAATGGTCTCTTTTTTATATCCTACGTATTAGAGTATTTTGTTCGAATTGCTCCATCAATTAAAAATGACTAGTACAGTTAATCATTAAAAGGCAAATTATATAGTACAGTTAAGTTACCTATCTTCTATATGTGAACCAATTACATAATTAGAAATGACTAGTTAAGATGTTATGTTTTTACATGAACTTATCTCGGTCCCAGACTAAACTAGATCAGATTAGATCAGATCTAAACAATAGTACTAGATCGGACTTAAACAGACCTAAAACGGCAATTATTGAGAGAGGTAATAATTGGAGTTGGATTATGGTGAATTAAGCAGGTAATTACGGGCCCCAAGGCATGATAGACTTCATGAATGAAGGGAAGCTGATGGATCTCCTGAACAGCTCAGAATATGTGCCCACCTATGAAGATAAGGATGGTGACTGGATGCTCGTGGGGGATGTGCCATGGGAGTATGTTCATTCATTCCATCCCTCCCTCTTTTCATTTTGTTCTCTCCAATCATCATTTTCTTCTTAATCCACTCAGCTTTCTTTATACTGTATATCATTATTGCATCAAAATATCCCCCACCATCTTATAGAGTTTCAATCCTGTCCACTTTTTAGCTTACATTAGCTTCCTCAAACTATGAATTAATAAGCTAATTTGCATTTGTAGAACAATTAAGCTAAGACTAATTACTATATTGATCCCAATTGATCCCAATTATGTTTATAATTGTTGCACAGGATGTTTGTTAATTCTTGCAAACGCTTGCGCATAATGAAAGGATCAGAAGCAATCGGACTTGGTACGTTACGCACGAGTTTAAATTTTCTTGATTCTTTTTATGGGTTTAATAATTCCAAGTTTGATTCTTAAATAACTAATAATTAAAGGGATTTCAGCCTTTTAGGAGGGACCTTCAATTTTCATGTGCAACATTTTTTGAGATAAAAACTGTGTTCATAAGTCATAACTTTTGAAGTCTTCATCTCACTGTTTCTATTTTCCTTACTTTCATACCCTTTTTAGCATACTTTACCAAGCAAATTTTAAAGTAATTGATTATTTTGGGACATCCTAAAAGAAAAGGTGAAACTTAATTTTAGGGTGGAGTATTTGTCAACATAACTGTCACACCATACATTCAAGTTATTTTACTTTAAAGTATATAACTAAATTAATTGATTCTATTCTAACATAATAGTCTTTTTACTAAATGAAATATAGCACCAAGAGCAATGGAGAAGTGCAAGAGAAGGAGCTAATGAACAAAGGCATAAATATCACATGGCCTGCAGTTCCATTTCCTCCAAGTTGTGCATGCAATCAAGAAGCTAAGGAAGGGGTTCTTATATATGTGATGGTTGTTTGATCTTTGTGTCTGTAATTTTATTTGATTATTACTATATAGTATACTCATACTAGCATATATATTAAGTTAAAACTTTTTTTTTGACATTTGTAATGGACAAGAAGCAAATCCTTAAATTAAACCCTATTGTCTGGTTGTTACTACTAATTAGTGGCTTGTTTCATTTTCATTATTATTGTCATTAATGTTAAGTTTTTGGGTTTTGTTTGTCTTTTTTTATTAACTGTTGTGGTGTTGTACAATTTTCTTTGTTGTCACAGTAGTTCTGAGTACAGTTTTAATTCTTTGAATCTAATTATTAAATGCCAGTTTCTTTTTCTTCCCCACTTCCGAAATCATTTATTCCAATTACTCATTTAATTTTGTGAATAAAAATAATTGCATATAGATGTACTTTCGTGGCAGTATAATCTTTTGTGATATTAAGTCTACGTTTGGAGGGAACATGCCATGTGCTTGTTCATGGATGTGTTGCTTCTTCCATGACTCATTATTTGATCTTCTTCAATTCATCATAATATCAAACGATTAATTATATTTTATTTAGAGATCAGAAGATTGTTTGGCTTTGCAATGGGGTCTGGTTATTTTTATTACGTACTACTACCTCTGTCCCGTTTAAAGATTATCATGGTAAAATGACACGATTATTTAGACAATAATTAAATATGTTAATTCAAATATGTTTTGAGAAATAATTTTGATGATAACTGTAATGTTATAAATGTATTATTTTTAATATTTGATGATTAAATTGTTATTTAAATTAGGAGTGTTAATTATTTTCTAAAATAGAAAATGGGAACCACTAAGTGGGACGTCAATTCTTCTTCTTCAAAAGCGAGACGGAGAAAGTACTACTTATACATTATTATACCATTACAGCTAGACATGGCCAGAACGAATATGCATGCGACGTTTTTGTTCATGAAGGTCAATTCTTCCTCGTGCTTTTATTTGAATATATGCCAACTTCCCAACAAGATGTAGAACTAAGAAGTTCATACACATTTATTTCAACGAGACGCTGCTCCCTTGAAGTTGATGATGTGTATTGGAAAAATTAAGAGCCACTTTGTGACCCTATTTTTCGGATCATCGAGTTTTTTAGTCAATTTTTTTATCAAATACGTAATTTTTTGATTTCGCGCTCTGAATTGTATAATAATAAAAAAAAGTAAGATTTGAGATACTTTTTTAGCTACATTGGCTGGAGTTGTTGTAGATGATAATTTTAGTTGTTCTTTCAAATGATTATTTTTAAAGGAAAAGAAACTTATATTAAAATAGCAAACGAATCAAGTGTTACAATCAGTCAATAGCTCAAAGTCCATCACTTATCTTCTAACAAACTTCATCTAAACTCAAGAAACGTCTTACCATCAGATTCTGAGACGGTCACCTAAAACAAAGCAACGCGAATCGCTGATTGGCCTCCAAACGGACAACATAAAGTTCTTTCTAATCTTTAGTTAAGGTCATCGTACTCTTTACCACTTTACTAGACTCATAATAGCCAAAAGGCCCCCTTAGTCCGTGATCAGGCATAGAAAAGTTCACCCAAAATTGAGCAAAACTTTTCGTTGAACATACGTGAACTTCGAAGCAATTAATGGTTGTAGAGATCTCAACACTTCTGACCATAGCTAAATTAAATAACTCAAAACTCCCACTAACACAAACAATCCGGAAATAAAGTAAATAGTCTATCGAAATAAAACTAAAACTTGAAATGAAACTAAAGCAAACCCTAACCACTCGTTCTCTCCATGGCAGCGGCTTAGTAGGAAGCTGGATCATCAAAACTTCATTTAATTTTTCTCCAAGACCAAAAGATCGAAGGCCAAAACAGATGATGTTGTAGTCACCGCCGGTGATACCACAAGTGAAGGGGCTAGGTGTGGAGCCAGGGCACTGGGCCGGACTGGGCCGATACAAAGAATGTTTTTGGAAAAAAAAATTACACGGAATTTTTTTATCCTAAAAATTTAGACATTTTTTTAAATTTGGGCTGGGCCAAGGCCAGGGTTGGCCCTCCCTTAGCTACGCCCCTGGAAGGGGCCACCGTTGCAGGCGCCGTCGCGGCTACAAGCCTTGCTCCAAGCACACGAAGATGCTATGGAAAGCTTCATCTGGTAACTGTCGTACCTTAAGTATTGATCGAGAATATATCTGTTGAAGTTTATTCCTTCAATCTGTAGGATCAACACGTAACCTAAGGATTTAGAGTGAATATTTTGGTGGATTAGGTGATTAGCAAGCAAGAGGAGTGTTAATTAGTAGTAGGAAATGAGCCGTATCTTATTAAGTCTCGAGAGAAGCCTCAATACAATACACTTTCCTACCAAAGCCCCGAGACCGTTCGTCTAATATTAATGCTACGAGCTATTACAGATGTTATTTGCTAAGAGTGTTAAGTTGTCCACCCTTTACAATGAAATAAATGTTACTATTTATACTGCTAAGGGGTAGTTAGACATTCGATGTGGTGGGATGTGGATGGCTATGGTCCCAACCACCAAATCTACTTCATTAAATGTGCTTCCCGCCAGAATCTTGGTTTCCCGCCAAGATGTTGGGACGAGCATCCCCCTGGTTTTGTACCATGTGCCATTTTTGGCCCAAAGTGCTAGGTTTCGAGCGTCTTGTGCTGCCTCCTGGATCAAGATACCAAGCTTTTATTTGGGTACGATCGTCTTCTGACAGATGCCCCCGGGCCATGGTTGTATGCCCATGGGGGCTGGTACTCTGAGGTCGGGCGTTCCTCCTGGGGACAAACCTCGCCACTGCCTTGGGCTGTTTGAGGATAATCGCCCAAACAGCTTGGGCTTAGGGAACGAACGTCTGTTGGGCCTCGAAGGGGGTAATGGGCTGATCCCTAGTTGGGCCATTAACCCAACATATTCAAAGCCAAGAAACAAGCTTCTCTATCTCCATGACAAAGGAAAAGTTAACTGCACGTTTATGCGGCGGAAAAACTAAACACTATGTACGGGAAGACGTACTTTGCGAGGGAGAAACTAGAAAATTAGTGATTAAGTTCTAGTTTGTTTTGAAGAATTATGGAATCTTAAAAAGCAATATATGATTCCACAATTTTTTTTCTTTACTTTATTAATTAAAAATACTTTTTAATATTTTTTTCATAAATCAGCATAATCAGTCAATCCAACTACTTCAGCGAGAATTTCATAAATTTCAACATAATCAGCCAATTTCAGTGTTACCAAGCGGGGTCTAACAGTTTTCAAAAGAATAATAAAATTTCATTACTTTTGATTTTTATTTTTTTCGGACACCAATTTAGTATCAACTTGGTCAATTAAAATCACTACAAAAAAACACGAGATCGGCAATGATTTGAAAAAATTCATGAAGAATTTCACGGGGATATGCCAAATTTGTTCTAAAAACGTTTTAGCGTGAGCTATTTGGCACGAAATAATCGATCAAATCATTCCAAATCCGTGTCATTCCCGTAATTTTTTTGTAGTGAATATTTCAACGATTTTACCCTATAAATGTTGTAGGGTACATTTAGAAGAACTTGTGTGCCCCCATTAAACTTTTCCTAATTCTTAAAACTAAGGTACCAAATTCATTTGTAAGTTTTGCTAATATATCTAATTGAACCAACAATTCGGCAATGATTTCAAAATCATACTTCAATCATTTTGCATAGTTTTATGGTATAATTAAAAAGGCAAAGTTTAATCCTATTCCTGTGAAAGCACATGAAACAAGCTAATATAGAAACTTTCTAAACAGCCCAAAGATAATCCTCACTAAAAAAATGTTAGATAAGAATGAATTACTTCTATAGAAAGAATCATAGTGATATCAGTATCTTAGAAATATATAGCAATACCTTGCTAGTCGTCAGGTAATTAGACCTGAAACTCAAGGAAGAATTCGGATCTTAACAACTCACAAGAATGTCAAAATGTAGGGCAAAGTAGGAATAAGAGAAACGAGGCTTGTGGAAGTGAAGAAAAATAAAGGGCAATGATCATGTATCGCACATGAATAGAGGATAAGATGGGAAAGAAGATATTTGAGTTTTATTTCAACTAATTTAACTAATTTAGTTACGAGAAATGTTTCAATTCAACTAAATTATTTCATCTTAAGCTTCGCTAAGCCCTTCATTCAAACAACATAACTTCAATAATAGCTAACTAGTAGATAGAGATTGCCATAATGGATAAATCTCGAGTTCGAATATCAACAACTGCGATGGAGATGTTATTATGTAAAAATGCATAGGATCTTGATATCTGAGTCAAAGCTTCATTTGCTGTCTGTCGATTAAAGTTCAATTTACATTTGATTGAATTTAAGATATTTGGGCCTCGTTATTACTTATTAGATGCATTGGTGATTGGACTGTTGGAGTCCCAAGCATAGCCCATTAGTTTTGTCTATTGATGGGCTGAATATTCGAAACGTGAATATCACGTGAGGAGAGTATCGTGCACTTGCTCTTTGCACCGATGTCCGGCTTGTAGTCTTCTTTTCGAATTTTCGGCCGGATGTTAGAACCGGAATTTCTTGGAGCCGTCCCCACTCTCCAGCGGCCAGCCACTGAAGCAAGAACACTTGTCGTTCTTGAATCTTTAGCCGTCTAGCCGATAAAAGTTTTTTATCAAAACATTCATCGCCGTCGATCAAGACCTCCGCGCTGAGATTGCCACAACCGAAGAAGATATGGGGTTTCGGCCCCTTAAGCCCTAGCTTCTGAAATCCACATCACTGAGGCTTTTCATGCCATCGGCCCAGATATCCGTCGATTTTGGCTGATTTTTCGAACTGGGTCATCCATGGATTTCGTGGAGCTGGAGGCGATTGAGGGTCTCCGATGGTCATGGAACTCCTGGCCCGTTTCGAAATCCGAAGCTTCGGGTTTAGTAGTCCCCCTCGCGATCATGGCGACGCCGCTAATGTCCTTCAACGAGCTCCCAGTGCTCCCGTACGACCCTCTCATCTGCTCCGAGTGCGGAGCCGTTTTGAACCCATATGCCCGTGTCGATTACCCAACCCGGACATGGTCGTGCCCGTTTTGCTACCGAAAAAACCCGTTCCCCAAGTCGTATCTTGGCATCAGCGAGAACAATATTCCGGCGGAGCTTTTTCCGACGTATAGTACGGTTGAGTATCAGCTGGGGAAGAGGGGTTTGACAACCACGCTTTCAGCCTCGAACTTGGTATCTGGTTTTGGAAATGGGGCATCGTCTCCCTCTCCAAGGTCAACCCGTGGGTCGTTTTCTTCACTGTCCACGCTTTCGGTGGTATCCCGGTCGGATTTGAATGGACCCGCGTTCGTGTT